TTTTCTGTTTTATGATCCAAAAACTTTTTCTTAAGAAAGTTGACTTTTAAAAAAAAGAAAAGGAAAGTTGACTTTAAATCTGAAATTTGCACTTGGAATGCTCTTGATATTACAGATGCTGAGAACATGTGGCCACTGAGGATGTGATTGACCTGGGCCCATTTTATTGGGAGGTTTATTTTAGTTGACCCTTCTCTCAAAAGATGAATTGTTTTTAAGAAAATCAAACCACATTTTTGTTAATTCAGCAAGATAAAAACAGAGGAAAAGTGTGCCTATTGTCCAAACACACCAATAAACATAATAAACCAAATAACAATAATAAACAGCACAAAAAATAAAAGAAAAACATCTTTTAAAAAGCTTTGTAAAAGATAATAAAAATAAGCTGGGAGTGTGGATAATATTACATAGGTACTCTCAAGAGCTGAGCTGAGCAATTGATTATTTGTTAAATATTGCCTTTGAGAGTTGTCCTAGTTAGGGTTTCTATTTCTGTGATGAAACACCATCACCATAAAGCAAGTTGGAGAGGAGAGGGTTTATTCGGCTTAGACTTCCATATTGCTGTTCAACATTGAAGGATGTCGGGACAAGGACTCAAACATGGCAGGATCCTGGAGGCAGGAGCCGATACAGGAGCCGATGCAGAGGCCATGGATGGGTGTTGCTTACTGACTTGCTTCCCCTGGCTTGTTCAGCCTGCTTTCTTATAGAACCCAGTGCTGTGGGATGTTCTGTATGGCAAATGTGTTGCTCTGATTGGTTAATAAATAAAACACTGATTGGCCATTGGCTAGGCAGGAAGTATAGGCAGGACAAGGAGGAGAATAAAGCTGGGAAGTGGAAGGCTGAGTCAGAGAGACACTGCCAGCCGCCACGATAAGAAACAGCATGTGAAGATGCCGGTAAGCCATGAGCCACGTGGCAAGGTATAGATTTGTGGAAATGGATTAATTTAAGCTGTAAGAGCAGTTAGCAAGAAGCCTGCCACGGCCATACAGTTTGTAAGCAATATAAGTCTCTGTGTTTACTTGGTCGGGTTTGAGCGGCTGTGGGACTGGCAGGTGAGAGAGATTTGTCCTGATTGTGGGCCAGGCAGGAAAACTCTAGCTACAACCCAGGGCCACCAGCCCAAGGATGGCACCACCCACCATGGGCTGGGCCCTCCACCATTGATCACTAATTGAGAAAACGCCTCACAGCTGGATCTCATGGAGGCATTTCCTCAACTGAGGCTCCTTCCTCTCTGATGACTATAGCTTGTGTCAAGTTGACACACACCACCAGCCAGTACAATGGTCTTACACGTTCCACTGGGGAGCGAGCCCGACCTGCTGAAGGGGTGGCTGCCATTGGCAGGTCATTTTCACATTTTGTCATTTTAATCTTCTTAGGTGACTCAGGAAGACAGCCATTACTGATGTACACGTTCCACTTTATAGTTAAGGAATTTGAATTTTTTTTAACCCATTATCACAAGCTGGCACGTGGTCAGATCAAGACTGGAAGTCAAGTGTTCTGGATGCGGGTGCATCCATGGTAGTGGAAGGACATGTGCTTTGGATGGACAGACTCTGGTTAGTTAAGGCGTATCTGACCTTTGCCCTGAGTTTGCTAACCACGCCCAGCTTACTGCATTGCTTGAAGAATGAATAGCATGTCTCCTCGTGGTTTTTCTGCATCGTGTATCTATGTACCGAGGATGCTGGGGAAAGTTGGCTCCCTTCAGAAGTACTTTGGATGAGGCGATAACTGCCGTCACTGCCTGGGGAAGGGATGCCAGAGGGTTATTAAATGTTTAACCACGGAAGCTCTGGCAAGAATCTTCTAGATATGAAGGGAGCTGGGGGAAAGGAGTGGGCCTTGGTCTTTTTGTGATGGGTGGGAGACTGAGAAGAGCAGGTGGTGGATAAGTCCTACAGGCCTGCAGACCAAACCCGAGAAGGGACCTGTGTGCTTCCTCTTTTAAATTCTTTCCGAGCACTCAGTCAGACTCAAGGCTCCTGCCTCGTTATTCCTTAGGAACAGATAACCCCGACTCCTGTGATGAGTTTAGCCTCGGAAGCCTTCTAAGGTCAGCCGAGAGGCACCTAAGCAAACACAAAGTCATTGTCTGAAATGAGAACGCTTCAACCCAAAGACCCCAGGGCAGCTGAGAAGCAGCTCACAACACCTGGCCGAGAGTGAATTTCTTCAGTTCCTCACCTTTGGCTCTGGCTTTGTTTTCATGCCCAGTTCTGATTCTTCCATAACATCTTCCCTGCAGCTGATGCCACGGACCTACTTGCTGTTATGGGATGCACTACCCCTGAGATCTGGTCCCAGCTTTGCCCTTCGCTGGCTGTGTGACTTTGAACAAACAAACAAAAAACAAAACAATCACTTTCCGTCCATGGGCCTCGGTGTGCCCCTGAAGGGGCTGAATTCTCTGTCTCTACAAAGCGTTTTCTGGCCGGACCCTGTATCTGAGTATATTTTTTCTTTCCTCTCAATGCCTTCAGCGTCACCAGATGATACCTTTCTTTAGCTGAGGCGCAGGGTGGCACTGTGAACTTCCTCTGGGCACTGTTCCAGATGCCATGCAGGTGTTCTAGCCTTGGTCCAAGAGTGGAGGGTAAGGCTCAGGGCCTGACTGCTCAGCCCAATCCCATGGTACTGAAGATTTTCTTACTTCACGTGGTCACTTTTTTTTTTTTTTTTTTTTGGTCAATCCCAAAAAAGGACTAGATCTCCTGACCTCGTGCGGTGTAGCGGAGGCGGCTAGAAGTCTTTGGTGAGCCAGCCTTGACCCTGGGGGAGCCTCCTAAACAGGTCCCTTTAGACTAGGAAAAATCCTATGATACTGCTGGTCGGAAACCCTTGGCTCTCCTTAGGATGGCCGCTTCCTTAAAGAGAAGGAAGGATGATAATCAGGACAGAAAAGGGGACACGGTTCCAGCGAAGCAGAGGGTCTGCCAGCGAAAGGACAAACTTCTCCCATCCTGGACCAGAGGGTCAAAGGGCTGCCCAGGTAGCAGCTCCGTGTGTCTCCCCAGCGACCTCTAGCGGCTGTCACTCAAACTGCAGTTCCCAAGGTTTCCCTCGCTCTGGGGCTGGTGGTCCAGCAGCTCAGGTCTGACCCGGGAATCCCTGACGGGGTCTCCACTTCCACAGGACTCACAGTGAGGGGGCGTGTCACTAATGCACACTCGACAGTTGGGACCTTCTCATGGCCGCGTCGTTTTCTAGAAAACGTCCAGTTCCTTGTTTCTGCGCGGGTCTTACCATCTGTCTAAGGGCCTCGGGTCGTTCACACCCTGATAGGTAACTAAGCAGCGGTTGAGTTGAGATTTGAACACATAGTGTGGCTTCAGAGCTCACGGCCCCAGCGTTTTCAAACACATGGCCCTTGCCGCTTTTCCCCACACCACAAACCTTTAAAAACAAAACATGAGGCAAAGTATTTCTTTAAAGGACCCACAGGGACCTCTAGTGTTGCCTTCTTGAATCAGAGCTATGGGATCTGATGTGGATTGTGTGGACAAACGCAAATCCATGGCTTGGGTATGAAGTTAAAAATAAAAACAATAAATCACGTGTGCCCCACCTATCTCTTGGGCTTGTTACAAGGGTTAGAAAAAGAGTGTCATGCATGGATATATTTTATAAAATTAAATGTATTGACCCAGTTTGTGCAGACTGCATGTTGTCTTGAATAAGTCTCTTTATTTCCTTGAGCTTTTGGGTGCAGCCTGGTCTGTGTTCCCAACCTCAGCTGAGTTATGTCCTGCTCAGCTCTTCCACGGCCCGGCTCCCCACTGCCCAAGTTCCCCTCTCTTTTGCCCTTCTCTGGGATCCTATGCACAGGTACAAACACCTCGCAGAGGAAATGAGCACCCAGTACAGACACTATCAGTCCAGGGTGCCGGTGTGACTTCGGATGGGACTTGCAGTCTTTATAACATGAGAAATACATTTCTGTGTATTAACCAGCCAGTCTCTGGTATTTTGTCATGGCAACCTGAGCAAACTCAGACCAAGATGAATTCAAGGGATGCAGACCATTAACAGATGACCCCTGGTGACCAAACAAGAAGCGTGTGTTAACGGACTTTCAGCACACATATGTAATATGTTAGACTACCATTCTCAGAACGGACTGACTTGGTCAGAGTGTTTTGCCATTGTCCTTCAAGTACTTCTTTTTATTTTTTGAAATTACATTTATTTGTCTATTGTGTGACTCTTGGTGACTGTGTGTGTGTGTGTGTGTGTGTGTGTGTGTGTGTGTGTGTGTGACTGTGTACATGCCACCACACACCACACACGGGACATATGCTAAGAAAACCAGCTAAGTGTTTGTTGTGGGAGGGACTGGAGACTCTAGCTAAGGAATGTGAGTCCATGGGTGCATGTAGTAAACACCCTCCAAAGTTTGAGTCTATGAGAATCTTAAGAGCCATGGCTTTGGCCAGTGTCAGTGCTAAGGGACCAAGCTGAGGGCCACAGACTTGGCTTGACTTGACTGCCCCACAGGTTGCAAGCAGGTTAAGTGGGGAGCGCAAACTTAATGGTCTGTCCCTGCTGTTGAGAGACCTGTGGGCAGATTAGGGCTCATAATAGATTCAAAGAGCTGAGTATGACTTGGGATTGTCATTAAGAAAGAGATAAACATTCTACACAAAGAACATTCCAGGCAGATTGAAGAATTGAGGATGAAAAATTAATTCACAAAAATGGAAAAAAAAACCCTGAACTGACATTTACCAAATTTCCCAAAGGCAAAGAGCTAAAGTTAAAGAAAATTAAATATGTTAAGGGGGAAATAACCAATTATGTGAATTTGCTTTATGGAAAATTTTAAATCTACTGATTTTAAAATAATTTAAATGGAAAACAGTTTTACCAAGTGTTGACAAACCCCTAGAGTTACCAGAAAGTAAATTAAAGTGACTCCCCGAGGACACCTGGACATTGAGCAGAAGCCGGCAGCTCACAAAGAGGAAAAACAGCTGACAGAACACTTTAAAACTTTTAATATATTTACTTAATGAGTGTTTGAGGGGGAGCATGCACATGCCATGGCCCCTGGCAGGCACAGTACAACGTCTTGTCCCACTGTACAGGTCCCAGGATTGAACTCAGGCCATCAGGCTCGGTGGTGAACACATTGACTCATTAAGTTATTTCACTGGCCCAAACTACTACTGTACATGTTAGATATTACCGGTAACCTAAAACTCGTCAATTAAAATAACGCAGTAGAATTTTTCCCGATGAGATTCAGCATGGAGCAAGCAGCATTGTGATCATTGTGATATTTGTCTGCAGAGCTGTTAGTTAGTATCAACCCCTAAAAACAATCTGCAACGTTCTTGGAAATTATATAACTGAAATGTTAAGAAACTAGGGAGAAGAAAAAGAAAGAAACTAAAGTGATGATCGTCATCAGCCTTTGCCTGCCCTGTCTGACCCTGTCAGTTAAGGTGACCTCCTCTCGGGAGTCCCCTTCAAAACTCTCCAAGTCCTCAAGCTTCTGACCCCCGTCTCCTGGAAAGGACAGATGACGAAGTCTTGGCCAATGAAGCATCGTGTCTGCAGACCCAGGACCTGGGCTCAGTCCCTGAGGGCCCTCCACCTCCAGACACAGTGCTGCTTACTCAGGAGTGACTAGGACCCAACTAGGAAGCGTTGTCAGAATTGCTGGCTGCAATTAAAACTAACACAGAGGAAAGCAGAGCTGTGAAAAAGGTGTTCCTTTATTTTAGAAACAGCAAACTCCTCCACTTTGTTTAAATTACTTTGATTTGCATCTCTGTGATAGCAAGACTCCGAGCATGGGTGGCTACTCTGTAGCCTGGGGATGCTGCTATGAGGAAAGATTCTGCAGCTATTGTGTGTGTTAACCTTGAATACTGTGGTTTCTCTTCAGGTTATATAGGTCTTTTGTCTTTTATTAAGTTATCCTTGTAAACAACTTCTAGGAACACAACAAATTCAAGATTAGTAGGAAGCATTGGGATACCTGGTCAGTACTCAGCATGATCCTTCAACAATCCATCAAAGATGGGAAAGAACCACAAAATACCAACAACTAGGCTAATCATTGTTGTGGAATATTATCTTAAGATGTCTTACATTCGTTTATGCTGTGGAACATTTGTTTAATGATGCAAAGATGTGTTGCATTCTTTTATGTTGCATTTGTTTTATGCTGCATCTGTGAAGCTGTGTTAATTTGCCTGCCTAAAATACCTGATGGTCTAATAAAGAGCTGAATGGCCAATAGCTAGGGAGGAGAGGGATAGGTGGGGCTGCCAGGTAGACAGATAAATAGAAGAGAAGCTATCGGGAAAATGAGCAGAGGAGGATGCCAGGGACCAGCCACATAGCCACACAGCCAGACATGGAATAAGAAAGGAAGAAAAGATATACAGAAATTAAGAAAGGTAAAAGCCCAGAAGCAAAAAGTAGATGGGATAATGTAAGTTAAGGAAAACTAGATAGAAATAAGCCAAGCTAAGGCCAGGTATTCACAAGAAAGAATTAGTCTCCGTGTGATTATTTGGGAGCTGGGTGGAGAGCCCCTCAAAGACCAAAGAGTAAAAAACAACCCACTACAAACTATAGAGGCTGTAAGTCTTGAACTTTCTCATGTCCTCCCTTTTCCTCCCTCCATCCTTCCCTCCCTCTCCCCATCCCTCTCATATGCGTATCCTACAATTCAAAGGAAAAACCAAAGAAAACGATTCCTCCATACTCTCTTCCAAACTTATCATTTGTCTTCTCAGATGAAAATACAGAACATCTGTTTTGAAAAGTCAGGAAAACATCACAAAACACCAGCCAACAAGCTCCCAGAGTATTATTTTCTCAGCATTAAAGCAGCTACAGAATGCGCCATTACAGGAAAGCAGTCCTCAATTGCCTTGTGATTCTTGGTCTGAATACCACTGAGAAAGACACACGATGCAGAAGATTCCTGTTTCACTGAACTATGCGTGCCTTAGTTCATAATGGATCCCCACCCCCACACAATCCCAAGGGCTTTGAACCTGGACTAGAAGACAGATTCATCTGATTGCTAGTCATGGTTTGGTTAGAACAGTGGCCAGGGAAACATCTGCCATATGCAACCACTTGAGCTCGTCAGCTTCAGGGGCTCATCAGCTTCAGGGGCTCATCAGCTTCAGGGGCTCTCGGCCACAGCCTAAGGCACCATGTCCTTGATCAGGAGCTGCATGTTCTTGGGGTCACCGCCTTCATCCATACCTTATCCTAGCTAAGACCGGGGGCTCAGTCTCTATCTGCAGCAGGTGAGGTGTGAGACCCAAGGTCTGAGCAAAGGCCATGGTGTGAGGGAAGTGACAGAGTCATGAAGCCACCAGCCACAGCATGAGGCCAGACCTTCATCTCACCAAACGTGACCATCTTGCCCTTGCTGAATTGCCTTTACTACAGGGTCACCGTCATAGTGACACACAGTGTCACACCCCGACATTTGGCTAAACTAACTCAGCTATAGCAGAAATTGGCCCTGTGCCCGGCAGAGTGGCATGCACTTGTCGTTCCACTACTAAGGAAGCTGAGGCAGGAGCATCACAGGTTTGAAGATACCTTAAACTACACGGTCTAGAGACACTAAGACATAGAAAACAAAACAAAAAAAGAAAACCCACCAAAACCCCAAAACCCAACCTGGATCCGCTTTAACAGTAGTCTCTGGTGCCCCCTTGTGGACATTCAGAATGCTCGGGCGACAATGTACAGGTTCAATTATAACGGAATGTGCAGAGCCCACTGTAAAGACCTGGGTGACTTCACCCTGCAGGATAACTGGATCTGACCTGAATACAGATAGTTTGTCCACGGTGCCAAATGCTGAAGACAGAACTCACAGTAAGTGGGCAGAGAGAGAAAACTAGGGAAATGCTTCAGCCCAGCTCGACAGAGCGTGCTGGAACTCAAGGGCCGGTGACAAAGCCTGGATCCATTCCCCAAATTCTAGGACGCGATGAGTCCTCTGGCAGAGGGGAAGAGCAGCGTGCTTCCCTCCGAGTTCCGGAACAAGTGGCTGGTTTAAGAGTGTGGTTAAACGTGACCATCGATTGAGCAGGGTACAACGAAGCTTTGTGACACACATCTGAACCTCTGAAAGCAGTCCAGCACACCTTCTTAAAATAATGTCCTTAATTGTTACTGATTTGAATGACCAGATCCTCACTGTTTAATATAACTTTTTTCGTGAGAAGTCGTTTGCTGGATTTGTTAAGTTTATCATCTATTTCTCCAATGATGGCTCCCATTTAACTTCTGTTTGCTGCTGAAGGGGTCAGTGGCTTGACACCCCACACCTTCTTAAAAGGAATCTTATGTCATCTGAGATCATGAGTACAGGTGACAGGGGACGAAGCTCAATGGTAACCTCTTCTGAAGAGACGTTTGTGAATGTATTCTTTTTAGCTGTGTGTACGAGAGTGTCTCTGTGTGGGTACAAGCACGTGAGAGCAGGTGCCCTCAGAGGCCAGAGGGATTTGATTCCCTGGAGCTGGAGTTATGGGCAGCTGTGTCTGCTGACTCCAGAGCGGGCTCCTCGGCCAGAGCAGTCTACATTCTTTTTCTTTTTTTTTTTTTTTTTTTGGTTTTTTGGTTTTCTGAGACAGGGTTTCTCTGTGTAGCTTTGTGCCTTTCCTGGAACTCACTTGGTAGCCCATGCTGGCCTCGAACTCACAGAGATCCACCTGGCTCTGCCTCCCGAGTGCTGGGATTAAAGGCATGCGCCACCACCGCCCAGCGCAGTCTACATTCTTAAATGCTGAACCATCTCTCTAGCCCAGAAACATATTTTTAATACCATGTTACCATGTTATCTCCCACAGATGGGTGACTCAGGTGGCAGCATTAGAAGCTTCAAGATACAGAACATCTGAGGAAGGCTTGGGCTACAGTTGGTACCTGGGTTAATTCCACTTGTAATGCTTTTTTTTTTTTTTGTAAAAAATAATCCAACACAGACAAAATTCCTTTCTTTTCCTTCTGCAAATAAAAAAACATTGTTTGGGGTTTTGACCCGTTTGTTTCAATGCTGGGGATGAGACCCAGGGCCCCATGTACACTGGACAAGCACTCTATCCAGCAGGCTGCACCCCACTCCCAGCCCGTGTGAATATATTTTGCAGGATGAAGAATGAATATTCGGTGTCTACTTAGGTGGAAAATGAAAACAGGAAATATTTTTTACTTGTTTGTTCTGGGTAACTATGACTTTATCATGTAAAACATTTAGAGAGTTTTACAGAAGGTACTTCTGTCAGACATGAATAGGAAGTTCACCCCTTTCCACATCTGAAGGGTTGACACAGGCACTCTGCATCCGGGGCACACCCCCTGCCCAGGCTTCCCCACTCCAGGCCCCTCTGCACAGGCTCAAGGCAGCTGGGTGAGGGAGGGCACCCTCCAGGGACAGTGACCATCAAGAATAAAGTGCCTGGACTTCTGTACCTACGATGCCAATGGGCAATCTACACCTGGCCTATGCTGCCCATCTATGGGCACCATGGAAGAAAAAACACTGGGAATAGATGGGAAAAAATCCTTGATTATAATGAATGGCATTTTTCTATGAAAATAGCTTCAAAGTACATGTTTTAAATCCAGCAACCTCATCTTTCCAAGAGATCAGGTCTAGGACCACCAGCATTGTGTAAACAGGCAAGCCAACCAAGTCAGCCAGCAGGGGGCAGAGTCAGCCCGAGGAAGGTGCAGACAAGTCAAGCCCCTTAAGTGTGCAGGCGCCATCCAAGACTCCTCGCTGGTGTCAACATGTTCTGCGTCACCTGGAGAGGGAAAGAGAGACGAACAATTAATTATCTTATCAGCTGGATGGGCCAGTCTTCGAAGTTCATTTGTTTGCAGGAGAGACGAGAGAAACTCAAGACCTAAAAGTTTAATATTGTAAGAGGTGAGGGACAGGGACCAAGAATAATCCTTTAGCAAGCTCCTCTGCTCTCCACGGATGATTCTGACATGTCGGGAAATGCCTCAGGGTGCCAGCAGACCTGTTCTGTCAGGACCTCGTTTAAAAAGAATTTCGGAAGGTTTAAAATGAAAAAGAAACAAACAATCAGGAACAGGGCTGGGGACGCAGCTCAGTTGAGATGATGGTGTCTGTCTCGCATTCACAAAACTTTGAGTTGGATAAACTCAGCAAGGTGGCTCACACCTGTAATCCCAGAACTCTGGAGGTGGAGGCAGGAGGATCAAGAGTTCAAGGTTATCCTTGGCTACATAGAGTTCTAGACCAGTCTGGGATACAGAAGACTCTCCAAAAGGAGGGAGGGAGCAGAAACCTTTACAAAACAAAAGGGTCCTGAACATTAGAACAAGAGAGAAGTGACTGGCCAATACCTGACGGTACTGTGGGCCACGCTGGGAGGTGACCTTGTCTGTCCTCCTGTCCCCGCTGGAGTTAACATCCAACTAGGAAATCTCTGCCTCTGTCTTGGTAGGAAACATCTGAGTGAGCCAGTGATAAAGTGAAGCCTGGTCCAGCCCTTCCTGAGAAGGGGCTGCCTCCAGGATGTCGGCAAACACATCCTGAAGTCCTTCAAACCTTCCCTCAACATGCAAATTAGCAGACCAGCTTGGTCCAGCAACCCAAGACGCAAGCTATTTAGTTTGGTCTCGTGTCAGCCCTGACTTCCGGGTCCCTGTGTGGACACTTCCTCAGGATACCATCTCAGTGTCACAACCATCAGCTGCATGCAGAAGGGTCTGTGCTGTTTAGAGAAATGACATCTTCTAAGGCAGATCTGGGCAAGCCCCTCCAGGTGGCCCCAACATAGAGAAACTCCAGAATGCCGTGAGGACCCCATTAGTGGCTCCTGACAATGTGCAGACCCCAGTCCTCACAGATAGACCTGTACACTCCCTGACTGTAACAGCCCTGGCAGCAAATGGCAGTGTGGAGCTAAGAGGAGGTCTCACTCACTCTGAAGTAGCAATCAGAGGCCAGAGGCACCTGCGAACAGGGCAGTTTTTAGGCGACTTCTTTCCCTAGTGCTGCCGCAGCAGGGGATGCCTGGCCCTGGTCTCCCATCCTTCCCTCAGGACCAGACCAAAGGTTCTGTCTTATCTCTGAGCTGCAGAAAAGCACTTACCCCTCTCTATAACAGAGCAGGAGCCTCTATTTTACTCACTCAGAGCAGAGACTTATGGGAAAACATAATTTTATTTTGTTATTAAAGTAAGCGCTGCCCGGGGCATGTTATTTACACAGAGATAACTGCACTTCGGAGATTGTGATGTCCCGGGAAGGAAAACTCTAACCTCAAAGAGCAGCCCATCATTCTTGCTGTCACTCTCCTTGATAATGTGGTGCCTGGTAATAATCTCGCAATTGCTACCTCCATAGTCGTATAACGGAGGATGCTCGGCCAGCCCAGAGGAGGGTCAGAGGCCCCGTGCCTTTTCTCTGTACACAGGGCAGCAAAATCAATGCTGGGACGGCTGGATTCTTTACTCAGCCGATTTGAAAGTCTTTGTTTCAATCAGCTGCCCATCAGCCGCGGCTTCCCCAACACCTGCAGCGGGCTGGGCCCTGCACTGCCCTCAGCTCTGCTCAGACTACAGACACAAGGAAACAAAATAACCCTGAGCCTTGCAGTTAAAATTTACAACTGAGTGGGGGTTGCATAGTTTAACACGGGCTGTTCTCTAATAGAATAAGACCGAGAATACATAGACACTAAGAATTTCAGCTCCAGAACTGAGCAGTGTCTGGTCCCAGGAGAAATTTCTTTTCCCAAGGTCGGGCACTAAGACAAAAGCCACCATTCTTTCAGGAACTTGAAGAAAGTTCCTGCTTGCTAAAAAGGGAGTCGTTCTCTTTATCTCTTGTAAGAGGAACCTGTGGCTGTTCCATTAACATATGACTGTGGTACCTAAGAACCTGACAAGGTAATGCTAGCCTCTAAGCTCCCGTAGCCCATGCTCACCAGCCCCACCCCAGCTCACAAGCCCCACCCCTGCTCACCAGCCCCACCCCTGCTCACCAGCCCCACCCCTGCTCACCAGCCCCACCCCTGCTCACAAGCCCCACCCCTTTCCCCCATTCTCATTTAACCCTAGACGTCTTTCCCCTGCCGCTTCCCCTGCCGCTTCCCCTCGCTTTCCCGGGAGACAGCCTTGGCAGTTTGGAGTAAACTTTTCCCTTTTCGCCCAAGGAGCAGCCGGCTATTTTGGTTCTTTACTGCACCCAGTTTCATTCAGGCACGACATACAAATCCATCCTGGTACCCTCACCCATCTCCCCACAGAGCCGTCAGTCATTACAAACGGGAAGAAAACGAAAAATGAACTTGGAGTGGCTCCAAGTTTAAACCCCAGCAACAGCGTGCGTTAGGAGCCCTGAGGGCGACGGACCTTGCGTTTAAACCCCAGCACTGCCACCTCCTGGCGGACAGGCGCTAAGCAAGCCTGACGTTTCTCGGACAGGCGCTCCATTTTACAGCCTAGGAATCGCGGCTTGCTGCCCAGGGGTGCGGTGAGAAATTAAGCTAACCACGTGAAGCAATCGGCATAGCCCCGACCTGCAAAACACGTTCCACAGACTCCAGCTGCTATTGTTAGTATTACCATTGTCACCTGGCAGGCTTGCGGATGTCATACCCACCAACATTCCCACTGTCACTTAGGAAACACTCTGTCCTCTGAACCCTGACCTCACCCCAGATCAGATGATCTCCTTCTTCTTGCCCCAGGCCATCTTTGGAGTCTGCTTCTCCTCTGCTCTCAGACAAGATGGTACTGGGAATCAAACCTCGGGCTGCTGAGCTATGTCCCCAGCCTTTGGTGATTTTATCATTCTTATTTTGCAATGCTGAGATTCGCACCCAAGCCCCAGGACCCAGTTGCTGACCTTACACCTCCAGCCCCCTTCTCCTCTCTCTCCAGTGATGCTGACAGGGAAGAGTCACCTGCTCAGACTCAGTATGGAAGAGCACAGTCCAGAGCAGCAGCTCTGATTCTTAGAAACAGTCACCCCAAGTCACTCACACGCTCTGTCTAGAGTCCGACAGGCACAGCCTTAACGCTGGGTCTCAACCTGGAAGCCCAGACCCCAGGGACAGCTCATGGGGGCTTGGGACTTGAATGGAACTTCCCCCCATTTTCACTGAGCTCTAAGTGAAATCTGTCATTCCTCCCGTGATGATGACAGATGACAAATCATAGAGTGAGCTGTATCGGTGACGGTCTCCAACAGCAAGAGAGAACCCAAAGCTCCCTTCCAAATGTGTTATAGTTATGGTTGTGGTAAATGTCATATGGTCTCTGGTCTTCACTACTTTGAGAGTTACAGGCTCATCACTGGATCTTCCTTGTTTGTTTTTGTTTGAAACACAGTGTCACGTAACCCAGGCTGGCTTCAACCTCACTACGTAGCTGAGGCTGGCCTTGAATTCCTAATCCTTTTGCCTCTGCCTCCCAAGTGCTGGCATTAAAGGCACGTGCAATTATGCCTGGCTTCTTTTGTAATCCTACGTGTTTCATTACTTTGAGAGGGGACCCTATATTCTGCAAGGGTCCATCTACATCATATGAGACGTTCAGGCCCCTTGCCTCGGGAGGCTGGGAAGGGCGGCCATGCTGAGAAGGTAGAGGATGTGTGATCACTTACTGCAATGTGACATTAAAATATTCTTCAGGTGTCACGACTTTGGGTCCACCGAAGTAGTCCAAGACCCAGATATTGGTTATATTCAGCTTAGCAAAGAACCAGTTATGGCTGGAGGGCCAAGTTTTCATCTCAGGGTGTCGCAGGAATAACGAATTCTTAGCATAGTCCGCTTCTTTCTCGTTCACCTGAAGGACAAACAGGAGAGAAACAGTCTCACTCTAAGATTCTCTTTCCTAAGAATGTGTGGTTCTCACTCCACACACTCCTCGGATAACTTACTCAGTTGCAAACCCTGATCTTAAGAAAACAGATAACAAGGATTTCAAACTTGTAACAACACATGCATCAAAGTAGAAACGACTGTAAGGATGGAGGTTCGCGGCTCAACAGTAATGTACCCGGGTTGTGAGAGTACCTGCACACTCACCCAGGACCAGCACATGTTAAAAGTGCCAGTGTGAAGGGTGAACATGCTGAGAAGTAACACAATGGAACCCAAGAGCATTCGTCACTCCCTGGCTCGCTCCTGTCCGTCAAGGGCTCCACCCACAGAGAATGTCCAGACCAGAAGTCATGGCGGCCAGGAAGCAAATCGCTGGCTCAGCAATAAGATCGGTGTACGTGACACCTGTCCACTGGCATTTGGTGGGTCTTTTGGTTTCATTGTTTTTGTTTTTAGAGATAGGGTCTCACTATGAAATCCTGGCTGTCCTGGAACTCACTATGTACACCAGACTGGCCTCGAACTCACAGAGGACTGTCTGTTTCTGCCTCCTGGGTGCTGGGATTAAAGGCGTGTGCCACCACACTCAGCACTGTTGATTTTATTTAACCTTTTCTCTACAGCACTCATCCCAAACCATCCAAACATACTTCCAGTTAGTAACAGACACTCATCTTGTTGGTATCAAACATGGGGACATGGAGCCCAAGTGAAACTAGAGGGCAATAGTTCTGGATGAGCAGATGGTTCTTAGCAAGAGTGTTTTTATCCAAGAGCCTCCTGGATGCACATGTGTGGCTCCAGGACATAGGACCCTTGACCTTAAGAGCCCTAATGAACACCTACATTACAGACCCTGGTCAGAGCTGTTAGTTCCTGGAATCACTGTATGTGTGAGAACATATTCTTACCATGCACCCACTAACAAACCAATCGCATGTTATTCTCCAAAGACCCTTTCCCTGTGTTAATACCATGATGTTCTTTCAAGCCATCTCTCCTCATGGAAGTCACTGCTTACCTCCGTCACAGTTCCCGACAGCATTATATGGACACATAAGGGACTCTGCGGATCAAATCCATGTTTCCTGCAGAAGACAGTCTGTGCCAAAGACAGTGTCAGCGTAGCCTGTGGATTTTCCTGCAGAGAGAACAAGAAAATCCTTCAGTGTGAAATACCGTTTCTGGAAAGGTATAACACGAGCTGCGGACATACCATCCCTCAATGTATCGCACTTCCATGAAGCAGTGAATTGTAGGCCACCTTGAACTAGGGGGAGACAGTCCATGGGTAGAAACCAGTCCCAATCTCCACAAAGTGTGTGTGGAGATGTATCACGTTTTAAATTAACAAACTATAGGGAATGTTTTAGCATATCTGTTCTTATCTGTTCCATAATTATCAGAATTATAAATATAGTATCCCCCAAACCAGGGCTGGTGACAGCCCTCAACAAAATATCGACAGGGTCAAACTCTAATTTAACAGAACAGTGCATAAAAACACCACAGTTGCTTGAACAGCCTAATTACATAATTTAAACAAGAAAATTGCTGAATCATGCTGCATGGTTATCTCACAGCCGCAGAAGTTGTCACGTGATCTCAACAAGGGAGAGTTGCTTATTCTTCTCCCAGCTTCTATAACAAGAGAAGTCTTAACTCAGATCCAAAACACAAAGGCTGAACCATTCCTAATTCACTTCTCTCCAGGACCCGGCATCGTTCCAGATTGCTACAAATTCACGACTGCATTCACCCCAAGTGTTTTCGTGGTGAGCTTTACTATTTCACAACGGCCCATCAACAACACTGAGTCTCAGAGACCCTCGGGAAAGAGGAAAAGGGAAAGGGCTCAGAAGGTAAGAGCATGTACTGCTCTTCCACAGGGCCCAGGTTCAGTTCCCAGCACCCACATCAAGTGGCTCACAACCACTCGTAAGTAACTTCAGCTGCGAGGGATCCCATGTCTGACCTATGAGGGCACCCACACACAGATAGCCACACATGCACATAATTAAAAATAAAGTCAATCTTGCTGGGCATGGCGGTGCCTACCTTTAATTCTAGCTAAAATGTTTGCTGTCTTCAAGCTGTTAGACGAGGAGAGGAACTTCCCCTCCCCTCCCCCCAAACCCTCCCCACCCCCCAAAAAGGGAGAGAGCTCAGGTAAGGTTTCTCCCTGTGAATTTCAGATCTGGCCGAAAAGTCAGACATCACCAAAATCAGGACGGGAGTAGGAAGGTGTATGAAGGCAGAGGGAAAGTTGACTGTGTAACGCACAACAGGGAAATGTAAGACACCATAGCCATTATAGAGAAAGCCAAAGAAAGGGAAAGCCAGGGGATGAAGGGGCCAGGGAGGAGGGGAGCATGGCTCAAACCCAAGCTCGGGTGTCTAGATTGGATTTTGCAGGCCATCCTCAAGCAGTGCTTTCCAAATCCCCACAGGGTTTGTTAAAATGATGGTCCCTGGCACCAATCTGTACCCAAGGTTTTCTTTATTTTACTCTGTGTGTGCGTGTGTGTGTGCGTGTGTGTGTGTGTGTGCGCGTGTGTGTGTGCGTGTGTGTGTGTGTGCGTGTGTGTGTGCGTGCGTGCGTGCGTGTGTGTGTGTGTGTGTGTGTGTGTGTGTGTGTGTGTTTCTGTGTGTATGTAGGCAGATAGATATATGTGTGGGAGTCAGATGTTGACCTTGGGTATCTTCTTTGATCAATCTCTACTTTATTTACTAAGGCGGGGAGGGCTTTTTCTGCCCAACCCGGAACTCATTACCTTGTCCCAGGGACTCCCTGTCTCCACTTGCCAAGCAGTGGGATGACAGGCAGTCCAGCTGGTTTTCTATGTGGGTGCTCGGGATCTGAACCCTTGACACTTGCACATCAAGCTCTTTTCCTGATGGGCCATCTCCCCAGCACCCACACCCAGGGTGAGAAACACTTCGGGTGACTTCAGCAGTAGCAGGAAGTGTTCGCCAAGTCCCCTGTGCGGAGGGCGGTGAGTTTTTTGTTACAGTGAGTCTGGTGGGCAGGGCGGTCCAGACAGATAATTTAAATTGGCCTCAGCCCGGGGTGAATGAAGAGGAAGGAGCAAAGATGGAAACAAAGGAAGCAGAAGAGAAACAGAGGGATTTGGAGAGGCAGCGAGAATTCTAACTTGTTATTGAGAAAACAACAATTCCGCAAACCAGGACACCAGACAGTCAAGGGGAGCCAGTTTCCAGGAAGAAGAGGGAAATGGGACTCTTATCTGACAGATGCTAAATGAAGGCAATACAAGACCAGAAATACGAGACTGGTGAGGGCCGACAGGAACACAAGTGTGGAAGTAAATCCTCAGCAGAAGGAAAACCGTGACTGTGCATATAACGTGCTGTGTCAGAAGAACAAAGGGGTAAGAAGTTGTCTTGTTTTTAATGGGTCAGAGGGGAAAAGAATAGCCTGGTCATATCACAAGAGAGAAGTGGCCAAGAAGGAAGGAAAGATAAAAGGATTTTGTTTTGTTTGAGATAGGACCTTATACAGTCCAGTCAGGCTGTGAAGTCACCGGACAGCAGAAAGCAACTTCGAACCGCTAACCCTTCTGCCCGCCAGCTCCCAAATACTGAGACTATAGGCCTGCACCACCGAGTCTGCTTCATGTAACACTGAGACACAGCTCAGAGCTTCCTGCATCCTAGGCAAGCACTCTCTACCAATTTTACTTTTGACTCGCTGTTTCTACAGCCCAACTTGGTACTGTATTATCAGCCAGCAGCCACAAATTCTTCCTATAAACATGTATTATACAAAAACACCACACGCTGAAAAACTAGACAAGAGGAACGTCCCACTGGGAAGTAGACTCAAACTTCACAACTTGTCTCTGAGGGCTGTCTGGCACTTTCCATGGGGGACGTGGTCTCAAGCCCGGGTCTTGCTCTTCTAATCTCACGGGAAGGCACGGAGAGACTTGGTGGTTGGACTCAAGAGGAAAAGCAGAGCAGAAACCAACTTCGGCTGGTTAATTGACTGTGTCAGCATCCAGCAGACCAATCTTGACATGTTCACACCTTTGCAGTACCATCCCAGGAACCTGAAACCCGGGGTAGGTTCCTCGCATCTGCCTCTTTTCTACACATGAACTATCTCAGTGGAGTCCTACCCAATGGTCATCAGTCCAGCTGGTCACAGGTGAGCCCCCATGCCTCTAAATCTTAATGTCCTCCTTTCTGCCATGAGGATGACGCCACAGCTCCCGATACACCTCACAAATATAAGATCACGTGTAATAGGGATGCTCAATCTGTCCCCTTCCTGTTCGAATCATCAGTGAGGGTTTGAGGGAGTAGAGGGCATTGTTTTAGAATGAAGGGACTTCAGAGAATGAAGTGGTGAGTACACTTTGAAAACCCTTCTCAAGTGACCTGAGGGTTAGTTGAGTGCCACCGCTGGAGCAGAGGGAGCATGTGAACATGTTGATGCCTAAGAGAGTGTAGTGGGCTGGGAAGAAGGAAATGGTGAATTGGGTGAATAGGTCTGGGCTGGAGGAAGCAGAGGCTTCTATTCTTTTTGTTTAGCCCCACCCCGACTCCCAGTGCTGCTAGATCTTCTGATTTTTTTCTCACCAAGAGTTGGGCACTTAAAATTTTAGACAAATTAATTTAAACAAATTAGACAAAAATTTAAACAAATTCTATGTATTTGTTATTTATCCTGCGTGTGTGTGTGTGTGTGTGTGTGTGTGTGTGTGTGTGTGTGTGTATCTTGTGTTGGTGTGAGGAGAGTGCAGGTATACCACAGCTGTATGTATTAATGAGTGTATGTTGTGGCCAGAGGTCAACTTTGGATGTCACTCCTCAGAAACTGGAGCCATCCAACTTTCGTTTTTTGAGACTTGAGACAAAGTGTCTCGCTGAGGCCTGAAGCTCACTGACTCAGCAAGGCTGGCTGGACGGGGAGCTGTGTCTCCTGTCCAGTGAGGCTCACAGGTGCATGCCCTCACACCTCACTTTTTACATGGATAATGAAGACCTAACCCAGGTCTCACGCTTTCATGGCATGTACTTTACCGTCCGGGCTATTTCCCCAGCCCCTACAATTGCAGTTTTATAAGACACTAACTAACTAAGGCTGGAGAGATGGCTCAGGGCTTAAGAACACTGGCTGTTCTTCCTGAGGTTCTGAGCTCAATTCCCAGCAACCACATGGTGGCTCACGACCATCTATAATGGGATCTGATGCCCTCTTCCGGCACACAGGTATACATGCAGAGCACTCACACATAAAATATAAATATGTAAATTTATTTTTAAAAGGGCAGTAACTAATTTAAATTTGTTTAGAACGAAACAGAACTCTGTGTAGGCTGATGGAAACTGGTCTCTGGGTTCTGTGGCCTTAGCCTTAGGTGGATCTAAGGTGAACTAGGGTCGGCCCCCTGGCTTTGCAGATTACTTAACCTCCTGTCAGTGGGAATAGTCAAACCTGTTCCTAAGAGTTATTCCAAGAGACAATGAATGGAAATGAATGGAACGGAAAAGCTCTCGGCACATGACACCACACGTGCTTGATTAAAGCCTCACACTCTCTCTCATCTCACTTGTACCAGGACACTGTGGCTTCCCAGCTTTGCCACAAAGACCCTCCACCAAGCCAGGCTCCATTCTGGACACCTGTGTGGCTCTTCCCTCCCAGGGTGTGTTCCACCAGAGTTATAAGCTTAGCCCTGACCCAGAGAGTAGGCAAAGGACACAGAGGAACCAGCCCTTCAAAGAGTCCTGTTGTCTACTGAGGCCACTCTGCTTATGCAGTCCAAAGAATGCTGTCAATCATGTTGTGTAGTAGCTCCCCACTGTTGATAGGAAAGTTCTGGAGAGGTAGGAGAGAGAAACTCTGAAGTCACATAAGCCAAATGCTAAACTATCCAGCCATCTGCATGCTTTGCAAAGCCTTTAAATGGCAAGCGCCCAGTTCATGCAGAGTCAGGTCCTTAAGATGACTCGTGACGATTTGAAGGGTGTGAAGTCCTCCAGGTACTGGCAAAGAATTTACCCCAAGCGCTTAGAACAGTAGCAGGGGCGAGCAGGAACTTTCTGGTAGTTGCCCAACATCTGGGATGCTACAGTCTCCGCCTAGCCAGAGCCGACCAGAAGGGACAGTCATCTCAACTGGCTTTAAAATTCTTCTCTCTAGGACCCACGCTCTCCGGGGCGAACTGAACTTCAGAGGCTCGCTCCCTGGTCTGCCTGCGGCTGCCAGCCCCGCAGCGCCCAGCCTGGGGAGCCGCGCGGCGCTCTCGCTCACCTGCAAGTCGCTCACTAGTTGCTGCATCGGGCTCAGGTACATGTAGGGCACGCCGATGCCCGCGCCCGGGGGACCGTCACTGAGGGAGATGACGTCCGCGAAGGACCTGCCGCGCACCTCCTCCAGCGTGGAGATAGTGGCCAGCGAGCCCCAGTCCGAGACGTGCGTCACGAAGCGGGCCACGCGCGCCGCGTCATCGCGAGGTGGCAGCGGAGGCAGTCTCCGGTCCACGTCCCAGTCCCCGTGGTCCAGGCCCCCGCGGCCCCGGGCCGGCGACACCAGGAGTGCCACCAGCGCCGGCGCCAGAAGGGCGGCGAGCAGGGAGCGCGCAGGCCCAAGAGCACTGCCAGCCATGGCGGCGTCTGCAGAGTCCCTGCCCGGCGACCCAACCCTGCCCGGGTAACTGGAGCCCGCCAGGGTCCCGCCCCCTCCGAGGAGGCCAATCAGAGATGAGCAGGCCGGAGGGGGCGTGGCCCCTGTACAGCCAAATCAACAGACGCAAATTATCCGCTCCGTTCTGTGCTCAGCTCTTTAGAGACAGCGAATTTGCACTAAAGAGATGCTTATTATTGTTGTTTGTTGTTGTTGTTGTTGTTGTTGTTTTACAGACGAATAAGCGAGGTTTAGAAGAAATTAGGCAACTTGCCTAAATCACGCTACTAGGCTGCTAGGAAAAGTTTGACGTCTTCATGCACGCACTACCTTTTCTAACGTCTTTGAGTATGCGTGCATGGCATATGAGAGAAAGCAAGTTTTCTATGTATGCTCTTGCTCTTTTCTGTTTACTCACTGTTTGTTGTTGTTTTGTTGTTTCCAAGACAGGGTTTCTCTGTGTAGCTCTGGCTGTCCTGGAACTCGCTCTGTAGACCAGACTGGCCTCAATTCACGAAGCTCCGCTTGTCTATGCCTCCCGAGTGCTGGGATTAAAGGCGTGTGCCACCACCACCCGGCCTGTTTACTCACTGTTAGCAAGTAAACTTCCTTGTAGTAAAAGGCAGAAGTACCAAACTGGAGGGACTTACAAACTACTGGCCCAGGAGTGCCCTTAGATAAAGCCACTGAGATTATTGATTATCAGTATCCCACTCAAGACTTTGACCGTGCCAGTTTGAGACCTGTGAAGTCATCAAATTGGTTAAATTCGTGGTTTCGTGCATTCACTGTCCTGGCAGGTCCTCCAAGCCGTTCTGATCTCCATTCCACTATCTTGGAGAGTCAGAAAACGTGTGCATACAACCTGGCCCATATTCTTCATCATCTTAAACTTTGGTCACGGTTAGAACATAGAATCTTTAAGCCCCACCCCATAACCTGAATCAGGCCACACCTCTCCACAGCTCTCTCGAGGACAGAGTTAGGAAGCAGTCAGTGCAGTGACTTGACAGCTCTTCTTAGTTTATGGTACCCAGCTCCTTGTCTCGTAGCCCACACTGAACTAAATCATAGGATGCAAAACTTCTGTCACCTCTAGAAAATTATAAAAATCAGACTTTCCCTTTATTCTAGGGATTGGTGTGACACTCCTAAGGGACACTGCGGGAAAGATGTTCTGAGATCTAGCTGCCTCCCCGACCCGTCCCTCTGTCTGCCTCTCTCCTTAGCTCTCTCACATTCTTAATGAAACTCTTCCCTGGGCTTTAAAGGGAAGACTTTCCTTCCATTCCCGCTCTATCATGTTTAGCGCTCCATAAATGATATTGCTGCTGTCCCTCACACCTCCAGGCCCTGGATTCCTACTAAACTGCATCGAAAGGAATTGTGTCTGCTTCCTTTTCGGACAGACTGGTGCTGTTCATTTTTTATGACAGTCACATCTTTTCAAATTGTCATCTTTTTGACCTGGCCTCGGGTGTATGAAGGGCTCTAATGGGCTGGAGCATGGCAAACATGGCTCTGACAGGCCTTGACCTTCCCTCCTCCTTCCTAAACCATAGATTACATTCCTAAAGCTAGCCACCTTATAGACTGGCTACTTCCTCTGCCTGAGGCTGAACACCAAGGTCCAGCCATCCAAGTATTGAAGTCCAGCAATCAAAAGCTCCCTTTGGCTGCCCTAATTAACATGCCCAATCAAAACAAACCAACTCCTCCTTACACAGGGCTTCCCCTTTCCCTTTATAAACTGCCACTTGCCTATGGACTTTGTCTCCTCTCTATCCAGAGGCAGTCCTTTGTGTCCCATCCCCCATCAACCCCCCTCAACAACAAATGCCCCTTCCCCTCACTGCCTTGGTCCTCCCTTCCCTCCTCCCTTGCCCTCTCTCTCCTGCCGCTGTCTCTGACTCCCTGCCCTTTGTCCCTCTGGGGCAAAGAAATCTCCTTTGTGCTTGGTCTCGCTGTGCCCTGTGCCAACTCTGGTCCTTGCTGTGTATACTTCAATTTTTACAAAAGCCATGCAGTGGTACCGGTGTGAGGACTTGCTGGTAATAATCCAGTAATAATACCTGACCTTCCCAGGCCTCATTCCTTAACTAGTTTCCTTCAGAGCCGTGAACCAGTCATGTGAGCAAGTGTGGGCAACAGGTGTGCGAGCCCAAGTCCCGCCTCCACCTTCTCTCTGAAGGCCAGCCTCCCTACATTGCGCCAACTTCTGAGGCTATTCAGCAAAACGTGACCCTGCACTCTGGACAAGAGTCTGCAGTTCCCTCTGGTAACCAGTCTGTGTGGTAACCAATGTGATTGCCACATTTAGCTGAGAGCAGTGTCAGCAACGTTCGGTCCAATTGAGTTGCTTTCCAACCAGAGTTTAGAAGAACTTGAAGCTAGTTGGAAAACTAAGCAGGAGACATTTCAAGGAAGGAAAGTCAGTCACTCAGTTAAAAAAAAAATACCATAGATGGTTTGAGTGCTTGTCTATCAGAAATGGCTCCTTCTCGATGTGTTAAGGGGTTCACATAGCCAAATTCGGAGTTCCAACCTCAAGTCTAACACTAGCAAGTCAAGTGTCCATGGCTCTTGACAATAGCAAAATTAATTGAAAACCAAACTCATCATGAATCTGAGGCCTTATTGGTAGTACTTTTCTACCAATAAGTGTTGCATCAAGACTTCCCTGTAGTTATGACTTGAATCTCACAGCATGCGCACTTTATGCTCAGTCCATGAGCCATCATACCACAAAACACCCCCAAACACGGCCTGAAACACCCATAAACATGGCCTGAGACACCGTGGCTCAGGCTGCAGACTATTGCACGATAAAATTGCAGTGTTTATACTGGATGTGCACAGTTGTTTCCCCTCAAAGGAACAGAGTGGTTTTAGCGCAGGAAAGAAAGAAAGTTTTCTCTCCATTGTCCCTTATCATGTTACTATCAAAATAATATAACTTTGGATTGCTTTATGTCATAATGTTTGACTTGAAAAGACTGCTATTTGAGTTGCTTGCATATCATTTAAAAACTGTTCAGTTATGGAGGATTATGGGGGTCCAGCCCCTCAATAGTCCCCTCCCAGGGTCCAGGAAGAATGTACAACCAGCTGATAATTAATCTTTGATGAGAAGAAATGAATCTATGTACACGAAACTCCTTAGTCCATACACTTTAGTATTCTGTGTTAGTTCTCTCTCTACAAGCTTCTATTCTGCTCTCGTTTTTAGCTCCTTCCTTACCTGATTCCTCTCTACATTAATCTGCAGTCCCCTCTAGGTTCTATCTTAATTCCTTCATCTAGTTCTGCCCCTTCTAGGTTCTCAATAATCTAGTTTTTTTCCCAAATCAGCTCCTCTCCCATCACCTTCTCTCTAATCTGTTTCTTCCTCATCTTGTTGTTCCCCATCTGGCTCATCCTCATCTTCCATCTCATTCCTCTACTACTCTCTTCTAGCCCTTCAATCTAGTTCTTCCCCATCTCAGTTTGTTCCTCTCAAGTTCTTACCCATCTAGTTCTTCCATTCTCTTTTCTCTTCTCAGTCTCCTTATTCTCTCAGTTCTAAGTCTCCCAGGAATCCAGTTACAAATCCAAGCAATAGCAATCCTCCCGCTGAGCAAGGTCACCAGGCTTGAATTCTACAGGGTCATAAAGGCAGGCAAGAATTTTCCTCAGGCAGTGACCACCAGGCTTTCTTTTACAACCCAAAATGGGAGTGGTAAAAGAGGAGGTCAGCTGAGTGCTAATGACTGTTAGTATATGAAAAGGGGGATCTATGTGCTCAGTCTACATTCTGAGAAGTGGTTAGGTAAGAAGTTAGGGGTCTATAAAGTTAGTAAGGCTGTAAGAAAGGAGGGTCCGAGCTAAATTGTGTAAATCTATTACGTAAGGTCCACCTGACCTAGGCGGTGTCTTCTTGTAGAATTTACCTTAAATCAGGAGACTTATTATGTGGTGATCTGGACTGTTATTTCTGTTAGTCCTTGAAAGTGGCTAAGGGAGAGATCTGATTCCAGTACTGAATAGGGAGAAAAGGATGGGCTGGGGGGAGGAAGCCTTTCCTGAAGCTGTTCTCCAAATACCTGGAATGTGCATGTCCAGAGAGTGATCAGTCCACACTGTTAGCACTTCTTAGGGAAAAATCAGTTGGGAAAACTATAAAGGCACACATGATTTTCGTAACAGAAGACAGCTGATATATAACAAGCCAAATAACACCAAAAGCTCCTTGAATTTGGCTTCCTCTGGAGGAAATCCTTGATCCCTCCAGGTAGTGACTTTACCATAACCAGCTGAGTTCTTATAATATTTTCCTGCGGCCTATAGCATTCAGTGAACTTGGATTTGGGATTAGGATGAAATTCCTAACAGTTTCTGAAATGGCTGAAACATACTTCTGCCACTGTGATGACAATGTATGTGGAAAGGTATTCTCCACATTGTCAACTCTAAAGTCAAAACGTTGATCAGCTCTGAAAAATGCCCAACATGCTCTACCTGCAGCAGCAAATATTCACCCAAAGTATATTTTCTTGATACAGGACTAGCCTCAAACTCACTACGGATCAAAGGATGGCCTTAAACTTCTGACCCTCTCACCTCTGTTTCCCTGGTACTGTGCTGGGTACTTGCATGGCAAGGTGATCACGAGTGCGCACGCATGCAAACACACACACACACACACACACACACACACACACACACACACACACACACACACTGATACTTTATCATTTATTGGCAATAAAATTTCTATTTGTATATCTATTGAGTATAAATATTTTGTATAGACCTGAGGTCCTGTAAAAATTTTCTCAGGTGAAAAGGGACTGTGAGTAGAAAGAAGTTTAAGAAGTCCTGCCTTGACCGGGCGGTGGTGGCACACGCCTTTAATCCCAGCACTCGGGAGGCAGAGCCAGGCGGATCTCTGTGAGTTCGAGGCCAGCCTGGACTACCAAGTGAGTTCCAGGAAAGGCGCAAAGCTACACAGAGAAACCCTGTCTCGAAAAACCAAAAAAAAAAAAAAAAAAAAAA